CCAGAAGCTGGAAAAGGCAGGAAGGGTCCTCTCTCCTAGAGGCTTTGGAGGGAGCCCAGTTCTGCAAATGCCTTGATTTTGGAATTCCAGCCCCTAGAACTGAGATAAGAAATTTGCTTTTTTAAGCCACCCAGTCTGTGGTGCTTTCTTACAGAGTTCCAGGACATGCTAATAATCCAAGGTATGATTTTTAAAACAAATAACAAGTGCTGGCAAGTATGATGGTTAATTTTACGTGTCAGCTTCGCAGGGCCATGGTACCCAGCTATCTGGTCAAACGTTATTCTGGATGTTTCTGTGAAGGCGTTTTTTTGGATGACATTATATTATGTGGGTGTTCCGCATCCCATCCAAGATCTTTATAACAACAGACTGACATCCCCCTTGAGCAAGAAGGAATTTCTGATAGCAGACTGCTTTTGAACTTGACCTGCAACTCCTTCCTAGGTCTCTAGCTGCTGGCCTCCCCTGCAGGCGTTGGACTTGCCAAGACTCCACAAATGTGTAACCCAATTCTTAAAGTAAATCTGTCTCTCTCTATATGCACACCTTGTTGATTCTATTCCTCCAAGGAGCTCTAATATAGCAAGGATGCGGAGAAATGGGAAACTTCACACACTGCTGGCGGAAAGGAAATGGTGCAGCCACGGTGGAAAATCATTTGGTGATTCCTTAATTAGTTAAACACAGAGTTACCATGTGATTGAGCAATTCTACTCCTAGGCATGTTATCTACAAGAATTGGAAACAGGTCTTCAAACAAAATATGTATAAGAATGTTCACAGCAGCACTATTGACAATACCCAAAAAGTAGAGACAACCCAATTACCCATCCACTGATGGATAAATAAATGTGGCATATCCATACAGATGAAATACTATTCAACCATAAAAAGGAATAAAATTCTGACAAATACAACATGGATGAACCTTGAAAACACTATGCCGAGTAAAAGCCAGACTCAAAAGGTCATGTATTGTAGGTTTCATTTATGTTAAATATTCTGAATATTCTGAATACAAAATATAAATACAAAAAGCAGATCAGTGGTTGCCAGGGGAGAATAGGGGGTTAATGGGAGTGACTGCTTAATGGGTGTGGGGTTTCCTTTTGAGCGGATGAAAAAATCTTCTGGAACTAAATCGCAGTGATGGTTGCATATTACGAATGCACTAAATGCCACTGAATTGTACACTTTTAAAATGGCTAAAATGGTTAAGTGTATACCATGTGTATTTTACCACGACAAAAAAAAACCCATGTGGTCCAAGTACACGTGGAAGGAAAATTCATGAATATACTAACAAAGAAACCAAAGTTGTGGGAATGAACTTCTCAGGTCAGCAGAAATGGAACAGTGAAGTGAGAATTAAAGGTCATCACGAAAAAACATCCTGTGTGTAACCATTACTATGCACAGGCAGGCTTGTGGAACTTGATTCACAAAGCAGCTTTATTTTTCTCTCCAGCTGTCCCTTGAAATCCGACTTGCAGGGTGTGTGCACCGGCAAACCCTAGAAGACAAGCTCAGGCCTCCACAATTTCTCTAGTCAATCTTCTTTAATAACGACAACAGTAAGGCCCATAGTCACCCTTATGATGCAAAACAGTTTCAATTTGGAAATTTAAATATCCAATCCCACGTTATAGTCAAAATGGCTTATCACTGGAAGTGGAGGCTTTCCTGGGCCTGCCGTGGTGGGAAGCCAGCACCGTGTCAGGGTGAGGGCAGTGGGAGGGAGGAAAGGAAAGCAAAGCAGGAGGGAATCTTTACGTGAGGCGTTCTGGCGAGAGCTTCACTTCTTTCCCACGCTGGCTTCCGCAGCCGCACTCCCGAGTGGCTCACCCTCTCCTGCCATCCCGTCTTCCACCTCCATCCATCACTAGGCAGCGCTCAGGGGTGTCACCTACCCCTGCCCCCGCCCCCCACCGCTCTTTATCTTCTTCTTGCTCCTCAGCAGTGCAAGTCAGAAAGAAGTTCACCTCCTTGAGGAGACAGATGCCTGCCTCTCGGTCTCACTCTGAGATGACCGGTGCCGGTGGTTCCCTTGCGTGCATCTCACATCTGGTCTGACAAAAGTCTAGGAATGGCGGCTGCGTCTGACTCAGCCACCCCTCCTGCGCTCCATCATCAAAGTGTCTAGCCAGCCACTGGCATCTCATCCTTTAGATTTTTCCAGGGAGGGGTCTGTCTAGTCCACCAGATCACCACCCTGCAGGACACACAGTAAGGTCCAAAGAGGCCCCTTCCCGCACCTTGAGGTCAGAGGCAGGTGGCATCATCCTCTGCTCTCCCTTAGGGGGTGCAAAACACACAAATGGTTCTTTTCAAAGAAATTCCCATCAAAAATCCTCTTTCTTCAACTCTAGCTCTTCTTTTATACCCTTCATGTGGGCAACAAGAGTTTAAGGGGGGCGGCAGAGTTTCAAGCACCTCCATTGTAATACAGCATATGGCATAGGTATGAGGTATCCATTGCTGCCTTCCAAAACAAATCCATTTTAACCTCTTGTTACAGGTGAATTTTAATACCTACGTTCATTGCTGAATGTGGTAACAGCTGTCATTGAGCCCCTAATTTGCCCCAGACATGACACCAGGCTCTCTTTACAAACATTTCATTTAAAGTTTATGGGTATGTTTGTAACTACTTTTTCCTTTTCATAAGAATTTAGATAACTGGCATTTAGAAATCTGTGGAATACATTAGTAGTAAGATTTTTGGTAGAACACATTATTCTGAAAGCCACAGAGTGCCAGGTCTGGGAAGGACTTCGGAGGTTACACAGTCGACCTCACTCATGTCCTTGAGGCAACTGTGGGGGGCCCCACAAGGCTGGGGATGCACCCAAGGTCATCACGGTGAGAGATCAGATGCGAGTTATCACTTGCCACAGCTGCCTCTTATCCATAAAACACATTATTAAATTCTGATTTATACTGCCAATTTTAATATCTATCAAACCAGCGGTAGAAATGAATTTTTAATGCAAACTATTTTAGTCTAAAAAAAATCGAACACACTGGGCTTCCAACACTACGTAAAGCTGCGTGAATCCCAATCCGAGGCACGGGAGAGTCACGGATTCTTCATGGAATCTGTGCCTCAGAGCCGAAGAGTGGTTTTTAAATGCAAAAATCCCAGGGAGGCGGCGATGAGACAGGAGCTGAGCCAGATGAATGATCTCAAGAGAAAGTAAGAACGCACATCAGACTGGAAAACAGCTTTTTCTTAAAGATCTGAAATAAACCAAGCGCTGACTGTTCGTGCCCAGTGAACTACTGTTGTTACTCCCATCTTCCCAGTGGTGGCCTGCTCTCATGTTCTGATCCTCTTAGATGACAAACTCAGGGTTTCATATACGCTCTTCACATACATTAGCACAAGGGCGACATTCTTCATCTAACAAATATGGGAACCTAAGACATGCCATCCAGCATTCCCAGACTGCAGTCCTCAGAGGGAAACGCACTGAGATGCAGTATGGCTCCAGCACCAAAGGCGTCTGGGAAATGTTGGACTCAACTCTATAGCCTCGGGCTTGGCTACCTGGAGAGGTGGGATGCCACCTGAAGATAAAAGGCCCCCAGGAAAGGTAATGAATGTATAGACTGTGATAACTGACTGGTGTTACCTGTAAGAATGCATTGTTCTTCCTGGTGACTACCCACCCATGGTTTTACTATTAACCCCTTTTAGGAGAACAGACCCTGTCCTGGGAGGGGCGGGGCTTCTCTCCGGCGGCCCACCACTGGGAGCAGCTGCTTTGCCCGTGTCAGTTTCTCCTATTCAAGCTCTTATGAATTTGAGTAAGGCTACACGTCTGTTCTTCGGTAAGGATTCTGAATTTCGACCTTTGGGGTTTCCCCCCAACACCGCATGTACCCTCATGCAGTACGACCACCACAGGCTGCAGGGCTGGCAAGGAGCCGAGAAATAATTTCATCCAATGTCGCATTTCAAAACTAAGAAAACAGGCCCAGAGAGAGAAAAACACCTGGCCCAGGAAGGTCACACAGTTAACAGCTCTAATCACAGAAGTTAAGCATTTTGACAGATTCATGAACTCTTGGGTAGTTCCATCTTCGGCTCTGAGGACCTCAGAGTCACATTTGTAGCCTGAAGTGCTAATTAAACCAGACGAATTATGGACTTACTATTTATAGGCAGGAGTGAAGACATTAACTAGGCCATGAATCCTGGGGACAGCAGGAGATCTCGTCTCCTGAGATCCACACACTAATTCAACCTTTGTGTTTTAAGACAGAACCTGGGTAATACAGCCCCAACTTTCCTCATTCTCGACTTTGACCTGAGTTGCATTTACTCTTGAAGGACCACAGCTACTGCGGATTTTGCATTGGGAGACAAACAGGCGACCCGACCCCTTTCCTCAACTGCTGCCCTCACCCTGTGGAGAGGTTACAAAAATCTTTCCAAGGATCAATTACTTCAAAAGGAACTATTTCACACTCACACTGTTTCTCTGTTACTTCGAGTTTCAAAGTAAACCCACAGAAGTATTGTTAAAGGCTTGGGTTTGAATTACCTCATATGTTTCTTCTGTTCAGAGTGACTTGCACTGTATTGCCAAAATCAAACACTTCCCCGGAGGCCTGGTGGTGCAAACAAAAGCACTGAAATCAAAGGGCTTGCAAGTTTTCATCGGTTAGAGACAACAGTACCGGGGAGAGTCACTGGACTTCTCTCTCTCCACCAGTTCCCGCTTCCACACAATGAGGATAAAACTGGAGGTGCCTCTCCTGGGTGCTGTGTGGGTTGGCTAATTAAAGCTAATTAAGCCTCCGGAAAGAACTAGAAAATACTAAGTGCTGAGTATTACGGGCCACTAAGAGCCACAAGAACTCTTAAGGGATGAGACCCTGCGCAGAGAGCACAGGGCCTACTGGTGATCAATCAATCACCAATCACCCACCGACTACGGAGCAGGCACTGAGCAGTCGGCAGAAGGGAAGGCAAAGGAACCAGCACGCAATGTCGTTCAACAACACCATCTTTATTCAAAAATATATATCTATGAGACATTTCAGAATATACTGCTGCCATCAAAGACAGCCTATACTTCTAAATAAAGTCCTAAATTAATATACAAATTTAAGCTTTAAAAATATTCTTTAAGAAAAAGGGGGAAGGATGAAGACTTTCTGAGGAACATGACCTAAAGGAGAAGTCCTCTGAGGTCTATGGACGCCCTAAGTAAAGAAGAAAAGAACACAAAACAAAAGCACCCGCCCCACCCCGCCAGATCCTTAAATTAAACAAATGAAGTAAGCACACTTGGGGAGGATATGAGGGAATTAAGTTTTAAAAACCAAAAGCATTTCATTAAAAAAACAAAACAAAAAAACCCTAACTTCCTCACAGGAAGTCCACTAGTAACATGTGTGAAGAGGCCAACACATTCATTTACATAATTGCTAGTTTCATCTCTTGCTCTTGCTGTAATAATTACACACCAATTGCTGGTCAGACTCAATCAGATAAAACATCACAGTGGGGAAGATCCATTCAGTTAGAACATTTCGTCAGGTTGACCAGAGCAAGTATCTACTATGTAAACCCTTTCGGGGGTTCTTCTGTGGCTAGTAAGATTCTGCGTCCTTGGCGAAGCCCAGAGGATGTCCGGGGTCTGTGAGAAACCCGCTCCTGAGCAGGACTAAAGCAGCACAGCACACGGGAGGGGCGCGTGTGCAGAAACAGCCAAGGCTGGAGTCCATCCTGCGATTTCAGTCAAGTCACCCCCTGCCCTATGGCCTCTGAGAGAAAAACTCCAGATACAGACTCATTAATTTACTAAGGACAGGAGAGCAGGCAGTGTCGATAAGAACACACGGTCCGTACTCAAATCTGAGCAACAGCTTACATGCTACTGGGTCCTGCAGTTACACCGAATACCTGCCGTGACTTTCCGCTGTTCTCACTTCATGGCAGGCAGGATTCCTTCACGGGAAGCCTGCTATACTTTTTAAAACATAGGTTGTATTTTAACATGTTTAACATGTAAAATCACATGCAATTGGCTTTTTGGTAATCCTCAACATAATAGAGATTTTGAAGCCCCCTCCCAAAGGGATCCCTTTTTATAGCTTTGGGACTTCAGCCTCTGGGCTATAATTCTTATTATACTATGGGGGCAAGTTGTTGGCCCTTTTCCAATGTCAAAATAAGCCTGCCAAATCAGAATGATTTAAGAGTTGGCAGGCCTAACCTTGACTAAAAACAAGGTAAAAATCCCAACTACATTATGTAGTAATGTCAGCTGGCATGATAAAATAATTAAAACCCCAAATTCATATCCCCGACGTCCCCTGCCCGAGATGAGCTGTTCAGTAACGCCTGGTGCAGAGCTCGCCTGGACCCAGGGACACGTGCAGCAGTGCGCACTGACGGACCGGTGAATGCGCGCAGTGTCATGTTTGCGAAGGAGATATTCAAGTTTCGTCACCATCCTGAGGACATATGCTCCCCCCAGTGAGTTAAATGTTACTGTGTGCCCTACTCCCCAAAAGAAAGGGTCAAAGCAATGCCCACACAGAGCCGACTCTCAGTATGCCTTTGGCTTTTGGGGCCCACCCCTGCCATTTCTACAAAGCACCCACTCAACCAACTGTGGTCAAAGACCGTGTTTTTAGGGACATGCTCTACGGTACTGGGTGGACTCTTGGTAAGGGCAGCCTGGGAAGGTTGTTTGTAGGAACTTGAAGCAAATTACTTTTTAACTCATACTTGTAATTGCTGTTACTCTGTCTCTGAACTGTGATTTTATGTCCCAGATCATCTTCGGATCTTCTTGCTAGATTCTCTCGTCTGCTTCCAAAACAAATGCACCGAACCCCTGACTACATGTCACTAGAAGTAATGGGAAAATAGAATTGGAGATTTGGCAAACTCCTTCCTTATGGCAAACCTGCTCTACAGCTGTGCCTACCTCTAGGGTTAGAGGAGTCAGGGAAAGCCAGTGACTCCAGAGTGAGCCCCTCAGTGGAAGCCTGTACTGAACTTGAACGAGCCTAGCTCAGACAGAAGCTGCTTTCGTGACACAATATTATCATCAGGGACAAGGTTCTTCTGAAAGCTTCCAAAAGTACACATGATTTTCCTAACTTCTTGGGTATAAAAAGAGGGTTAAGAATGGAAAACCAACAGGGGCATAAAAACACAAGGTGGACGAGTTTATATTCTTTCCAAATACCAATCTAAACTGGATTCCACTTGCCCCTGTTCTGAATTGTGCTCAACAGGAGAGGCTGGAGAGGAGATCAGAGTCTGTGGTTCTTTCTTGAGGCTGGGAGGCTGGGAGGCTGGGAACCGAGTGGAAGGAGGGACAGAACCAGGGGCTACAAGGTCATTTCCAACCATGACTTGCCCTCCTCTTTCTGCTGGTAGAGATGGGAATCTGGGGCATGACACCTGCCCTAGTCGGTAGAAAACAGGTCACCAGCAGAGGGCAGGGGAGCCAAGCCCCCTGTGACGTTGGGCAGCAAAGAGAGGTCTGGCAAGCTCTGAATGTGGGACTTCAGTTCCTTGCGAACCTGGGTCACCCGAGCGAGCTTCTGTTTGTATTCCTAAAGAAACAAAGAGAAGACATGCAGTTAAGTCTTTGTGTGCCGATGGTCAAGTTTAAGGAACTGATAACAGATACTCTCACCTTCTTCTTACTCTACTTTCTCTCCAACAGATCACCCCTCCCCTATTCAGCTAAAGGACAATGCTAGGGTTTTTAAACTCTCAAAAGGCAAAACTTTATATATAAAAAAGGAAAGCAGAGTTCAATACTAGTGACAGCCTGAAATGGTATTTCACTTAGCACTTGAGATTTGGAAGTAAAAAGTGGCAGTTTGTATTTGCAGTGTATTTTATTCGGCTCTTAGCTATTTCAAAATGCCTTATAAAATATAATACAGATGCTTAGAGCTTACAATTATTTTGAAGGCTACATCTAAACATAGTTAGAAAAATCACTATAAAACTACAGTTTCTGTGTTAAGCGCAGAGATTAAACCAGATTTATCATTTTTGCAGACGAGGACTATATGAGTTCAAAACGCCCAATGCCGCCACCCCAAGTAACTGAACAAGTCCCCGATGAGGATTCTGGTAGTCTTCCCTGAACACGCCAGACTCATCTTCCGAAAGCCCGGCTTTCATCAAGTCACCCCTTTGAGACAGCGAGACGGCACCACGCTGTCTCCACGACTGGTCACAGCTCAGGGTCTTCTAAAGTCAGCTCGGCCACCTGCACTTCTCACAACCCCCGCCCTCCCATGCAGCGGCACGGCCTGCAACGGCCATTTGCTTAGGACTCTCCTCAAGCCCGGAGGGGAACACAACCTAGACACAGATCCTTCCTCCCTGGTCCCAGCCAAGTGCTGCCTCCAGTCTTCTGCCTACCGGCAGAGTCCCACCTCTCCAGCAAAACCTTTCCACCTCACCCAGGAGACTGGCCCCCGCCCCGCCTGCTCCGGAGCCCTGCGTGCGCTGGGACTGCGTTTGCGTCCCGACAGGCCGCTGTCCGGCGCTCTCCCCACACACGTCAGGCTTCCGTGTTCCTCTGACACCCAAGTCCCCGGATGGCAGGAGCTGAGCACACTACTCTCTTTCTTCGGCTCCCAGCTAAAGGTCCTCCTGGTGAATCTGCGTGAAGTAACCACCGGACCACGGGAGGGCTGTGGTTTACAGCCCTTGGAGCTCGTCTCTTCTCCTCAAGCTCTGTCCCCCTCCCCGGCGTTTCTGTGGCGACAAGGGTGTTCCTAAGTCTGGGTCCTCGCTGCCGAATGCCTCTCCCGCAGGAACGCTGAAGCTCAGAGACCTGGGTTCAGTCCCGGTTCGGACTCTCACGTGCAGTGTGACTATGGGCGCGCACCCCCCCCTTCCTTCACCCTCACCTTCCTTATCTGAAAAGGAAAGAACTGGACCACCCATAAAATCTTTCTTCAAGGTCAATATTCCTTCACACCAACACCTTAGGCACACTTGGAGAGACAGAGGGTCGGAGGGCAGACGCCCTCCTGAGAAGAGTGACAAGACAAGAAGTAAGTTCAACGAAGAGCACTTAGTTCCTGCGGTGAAGGCGGAGTCCACGCTGGGAGCAGGGGAGGCGAGCTGGGCATACGGCAGGGAGGCTCTGCCCCCACATTCCCACAGGCGGTCAGGCAGCTGTCCCTGAAACAACAGCTGCTCGCACAGGCCGTCAGATGAAGAGACAGGGAAAGAAAGTAAGCTCTCTTGGCACTCCATTTCTTTCTTTTGTAGCCTCAATACAACTAAAACCATGACTTACATAAATGATTAATAATGACACCCCATCAACCTTGTCAGCTTCAGGAGATCAGAACCAGATCCATCTGCTTTCACCCAGCACCCACCATGACCAGCAGGGTTCTAAACCAACAGTAGGTTCCAACACAGCCGCCCCAAGAATTACTAATATATAAAACATACAGTCCAGTCTTCAGGCCACTCTGAATATTGAATGAATCCAGCCCACCCCTCCTCACGCTGCCAGGCTAGTCTTTCCAAGGGATTTCTATTTCAAGAGCAGGCACATAAGCCCAGGGGGAGGGTGTTACTAGAAAAGGAGGGGACTGCCACGGAGAAGGATTAAAAAACCTAGAGTTGCAAGATACAAGATTAACATACAAAAGTCTATTGCTTTGCAATGACTTCACCATCAATGAATAAGTACTATTAGCACCCAAACAATGAAATACCTAGGTATAAATCTAACAACATATGTACAACATTGCATGAGGAACTATAACACAATGATGAACCAAGAACTAGAGAGATCTATGTTCATGGATGGGAAGACTCAATACTGTTATGGTGTAAGTTCTTCCCAGCTTTATCTACAGATCCAATGCAATCCCAATCACGAAATCACAGCAAGTTCTTTTGTGGAAACAGACAAGACAAACTGATTCTAAAGTTCCTATGAAGAGGGAAAAGACTCGGCACAGACAAAACAATATTAAAAAGAACAAAGTCAGACGCACCTGACTTCAAGACTTACAACAAAGCCACCGTCATCAAGACAAGGTGGTACTGGCCAAAGAACAGACAAGCAGACCAGCACAGCAGAAAGCAGAGAGCCCAGAATGACCCACTCCACAGTCAACTGACCCCTGACAAAGGAACAAAGGCAATACAGTGACTACAGTGAAGAAAAGGCAGTCTTTTCGACAAATGGTGCTGGAACAACTGGACATCCACATGCCAAAAAAGGCTAGACATCTTATATCCTTCATAAAAATCAACTCAAAATGAAACACAGATCAAAATGTAAAGCACAAAACTATACAACTCCTAGATGATAACACAGAAAAAAATCTAGATGATCTTCAGTTTGGTGATGACATTTTAGATACAACACCCAGACATGATCCATGAAAGAACTAATACGCTGGACTTGATTAAAATGAAAAAAAATTCTTCTCTGTGAAAGGCACTGTCAAGAGAACGAAGAGACAAGCCACAGACTGAGGGAAAATGTTTGCAAAAGCCAGCAGGGAAACAAATTAAAATAATGAAATATCATCACACACCTGAATGGCCAACATCCAGACCACTGATAACACCGATTGCTGACAAGGATGTGGAACAACAGAAACTCTCATACTGGGTTGGCCAGGAAATCTGTGTGTTTTTTTCCCATAAAAGACATATTTTTCATTTTTACCAATAACTTTATTGATTTGGATATTTTGAGTATGTCTGTCGGCTATCTTCTGCATGGTATAACACTGACCTTGACTAAATGTTGTGATTTGATCACTATCAACTTCAACTGGTCTACCCAACCATGCAGCATCACCCAGTGAGAAATCTCCAGCATGAAACTTCGCAAACTTCTGACTCATTCGATCAGTCACAGCACTTTCTCCATACACTGCACAAGTCTTTTCCTTGCATTTCAGCTGCATTTTTACCTTTCTTGAAATGATAAAGCAAAATATGCTGAAAATGTTGATTATTTTCTTCCAACTTCAATATTAAAATGACTACACAAAAAGCTACCAATTCTGATGTTGTTGTTTTTTTTAAAAATTCAAGCTGATAATGATGACAGCTGTCACAATACAATTAGACAAATTTTTTTTCAAATGAAGTTAAAGACAACTAAGCACTACTAGAAGCACCTACCTTATGGAAGAAACCAAACGAACTTTTTGGCCAAACCAATACATTGCTGGTAGGAATGCAAAATGGTACAGCCACTCTGCAAGATAGTCTGGCAGTCTCTCACAAAACTAAACATACTCTTACCACAGGATCCCGAAATCATGCTCATTTGTATCTACACAAAGGAACTGAAAACTTACGCCCACACAAAAGCCTGCACATGAATGTTTATAGCAGCATTACTGCTAATTGCCAAAACTTGGAAGCAATCAAGATGTCCTCCAGTAGGTGAATGAATAAATAAAATTTGGTATACACAAACAACAGAACAGTATTCAATACTAAAAAAATGAGCTATCAAGCCATGAAAAGATATGGAAGAACCTTAAAAGCATATTACTGAGTGGAAGAAGCCAGTATGAAAAGACACAGAGTCCAGCTACATGACATTCTGGAAAGGGCAAAACTATAGAGAGAGGGGTTGGAGGGGGAAGGGATGGAGAGAAAGAGCACAGAGGACATTTAGGGGAATGCATATGAGGTTACTAATAATGGGCATGTCCAAATCTGTAGAATTTATCACACCAGGGCGAACCCTAATGTAAACTATGGACTTCGGGTCATTCCGATGTGTCAGTGTAGACTCATTAATGGTGACAAAGGTATCACTCTGGTGGGGAATGCTGATAGCAGGGGGGACTATATATACATGTGGGGGCATGGTATATATGGTAAATCTCTGTGTTCCTTAAACTACTCTTAATAGCATTAAAAAATAAAAGACCCATGGGCCCAGAGGTTTAAATGCATCTGCAAGGGTGAGTAGGTATATATTCTGAATATCCAAACACAGATCAAGGCTGCCTTTAAAACTATTAAAACACATACCTGCTCAACTGGGTCAGCTGAATGACCCATCTTAATGCCTTGAGGAGAGATGAGCAGGTTAGAATTTGCAGTAAGCTCTGACTAGGCTGAACTGAAGTTATAGTAATTTTATAGTCCTTAAATAGATTCAGCAGTAACTGACCATGATCTCCCCCACATCTCCCTGCTTTTAAAATAGATTCAGCCTTTTTGCAAATAAAGTCATTTATAAATGTTGCCAGAGACCAACAACAAAAAAAATAAGAATGAATCAAACAAATCTATTCCCCAAATACAACTCCAGCATTCACCTGCCTCCCATCCTTCCCCTTATTCTCAACAGCCTTGGTCGGGTCACGGCACTCCCTCAGCAGCTGCCTGTCCAGCTATTGTCTTTGGTTCTGGACAGGTTAAGGAACAGACCTCAGGAAAACCCAGGAATCTTTTTTCTCAACCTACCAGCCGGCCTTCTGACGGAAGTGTGATCCATAAGCTCTGCGGCTACTGGGTCCCAAACTGTGTCCTCAGCAACTAACTCCTGCTCTCGGAAGGAATCCAGGCTTCTTTTCATGGTAAC